AGTTTTCATTAATTTAATTCAGTTGATATACTGTACAGTAAGAAATAGAGGCATATTGTAAGAGGTGGAGAGAATAGACAGAAGAATGATTTATGCTTTACAACACCTGGAACAGGCTACTACTAAGCACAGTAAAATATAATGGAAATGTTTTTTGACACAATTTAACACTTCTCATTTTCTGTTTACTCTCAAATGAAAACAAAGCTCACAATTCCAAAAATAGTCAGAAGATATAAGGATTAATAGAAGGGCTCCTAAGTGCTAAAGAGTTTTGCATTTCATTCATTATGAACTGCTAATTTATTTTACATATCCTTTCCTTAACTAAATCAGAGAGTTATGCTGTTCATTTAAAATGTTTCCAAATTATTCCTACAAATTGTATCTGTTTATATAATTTACTACTACTGTTATTTTTTTTAAATAGATTCAATTGGTTTTTAGATACAAAAGGTAGGAAAAGGGACATTTCTTAAAAAAGGGTAGCATATGTAGCACCCACATTGTCAGTGTGTCCTTTTTTTTCCAGACCTGTATTTTGAGAGTATAATTATGAATTGAGTTTATTTTTTGCAATTAGTCAGTGGGTCAGTGTGATTCAAAAGGAAATCATACATCAGACCATCTCATTATGGCTCTTGTAGCTTTAGAGATTGGAAGTTTCCAACAGATGGCATGCATTTCTCATTACAATACAACACAATTATCAAGTTCTGAATTTTAAAAAAATTAATATAGTGTGGTACTTCTCATATTTTCATGCTGCTCACTGTCCAGCTACGCCACTAGGCATGATACTCTGATTTTGAGTAAAAATATCAGATGTCTCAATATGCTAAACTTTCTGAATAAAATCAGATGCACATACAAAACAGTCAATGCACATACTGTACAAATCATGGCTTGGTGGTGCTGGACCCCGTCTAAATGATTTCTGATTAAAGCATTTTTTCCTTATTCTTCACATTTAGTTTTCTTTTCAGTCTTGGCTGTTTTATTAGTAAAGAATATATTTTTCTGGAAAGGATAACAATAAAACTTTACTTTCAATAAAAATCTAGTTCTCCAGATACTTTTCATAATTTAATCTCCCTGGTTTATAACAAAGACTCTGGTTTTCTATTTTTAATATGAAGTCACTACAGTTGTAATGCTTTGAGGTGGTATATGCACAATTTAAGTACTCTTACTTCAGCTTGCAGCCGCTTCAAGCTAATTAGGCAAAACTTCAAAGAGCCATCAGTGCAGGTGTGAAACACATTGACTATGACAGTGACAACATTTGTTCTGTTGTCAGCTAGCGTTTTCAATGAAAATATCTTTGAAAGACGAGGTACTACATGCCTATGCTTTTAAATGAAAAACATGACACTTAAATCTTTACAACCTGAGGGGCATACTTCTAAAAGAGCTACAGTACCATAAATAAAATGCATTTTTAGTTTCAAAGATATGCTATAAAAAATATTGTGAATCTGAAGTTGTTGCTGTTGAAGACCTCCCACAATGCACGAATCACAAAGACATCACCAATTTCTCAATGTTTCCATTCCTTTAATTTTAACTACTGGCATGCTGGATATTTTTTTTAGAATTCTATACAGAAATATACTGTTACTTAAAAACAATGCACATGTATACTTAGTAAATGTTTGGAAAATGTTTGTAAGTTCTGACTGTTGCTTAAATGAGAACATAAGAAAGCAAGAAAGGTTATGAACAAGAGGAGGGCATTCAGCCCACTGACCTGTTTGATCGTTAAATACAGTAGCTAATTGATCCAAGGATTTCATCCAGCTGTTTCTTGAAAGAAACCAGGTTATCAGCTTCAACATTGTGGTTTGTTAGCTTGTTTCCCACAAACCTTTGAAAAGAAGAGTCTCCTGTTCTCGGTTTTAAATGGTTCTAAGCTTCCAGATAGTTTCCACTTTTGCTCTCTGTTTCATGTTTCACTGTGCATTTTGAAGAAATCTATTCGATTGACTTTTTCAGTCTTTTCAGGATTTTGAATACATTAATAATGTCCCCTTAAAATCATCTGTGTTGAGGACTAAAAGGTTCAGTATCTTCACCCTGTCAGTGTAGGACACTTCCTTATTCCCCATTATATATCTGGATGCTCTTCTGGACTGATTCCAGTGCAGCTATATCTTTTCTATATAATGGCGTAATTGTGCACAATATTTTAAATGAGGCCTTACTACTGCATTATACAATTTTAACTTCCCTTAATTTACATTTCACACTTTCAGCTATATATTCTAGCATATTGTTTGCCATTTTTCTTTCTTACGTTGTCTTAAATATGTAAATGTGTCAACAAGTCTTTTTCAGAAGTAGCCTCTTCTAGCTCAGCATCTCCCATTTTGTAGTTAGAATTACTTTGGACAACCAGGAATTCGACCAGTCTTAAAATTCATATAAACCTTTTTGAATTTCACTTGTTGCTTCCTCTGTGTTTTCCAATTCACATACTAAAATGTAAAAAAATTGGTTAATAACTGTTCTCGACTTTACATTATTTAAATTAAGAAAAGCAGTGGTCAGAGTAAAGATCCCTGTGGTACTCTGCTGATTACATCACCCCAATTTGAGTATTCACTACTGAACCCTCTGTTTTATAATAACTAATTCTCAGTTTCAACATTTGTATTTCCGTGCATGCCAATTGCCTGCAATTCCAGAATAAACAGTTTATCAGGAACTTTATCAAAAGCACTCTGAAAATCTGAAATACATTATATAATATATATGGTATTCATATTAAGAGAGCACGGTGGCACCAGCACCAGACCAGGGTGCTATCTGTTCTCCTCATGTTAACGTGGGATTTCGCCTGGAGCTCCAGTTTCCTCCCACAGTCAAAAAACATACTAGTAGGTTAACGTGCCCTAGTGTGAGTGCATGTGCAATGCCTGCACATATCCTGTGATGGATTTATGTCCTGTCCAGGGTGTACACCACCTTGTGCTACTTGCTTACCAGGATAGGCTCAGGCTCACCCATGACCCTGTATTGTATAAAGCAGTTAGAAATGGATGGATGAATGGATGTTCTGAATAATTCACTACCTGATCTGTACTGTTAGTAATTAAACACAAAATAAAATTCACAGTAAATCAGATGACTTGGGTGCTCCCCTGGTGCAAGTAGTGTGTGCCCTGTGAGAGAATGGTTCCCCTGCGACCCTGAATTGGATGGAGTGGTTAGAAAATGGATGGATGGTGTTTATATTGGGTGTATACAGTATACAATATATACACCCAAAGATAATCTGTATGGGTAAGTCTCTATGGACTTTGCGTACCGGTTTGGTGAAAGTTTTTCCCATTCTGGTGTTGAAATTTGCTCAGGCTCTCTCAGGGAATTGCTTATGGAAAATGTTTTCACAGCATCTCAACACGAGTCAGATCAGTACCTTGTTCTGTGCTCTTGAAGTAAATTTACTTTCTTATTTTTAAGCTACTCTAGGACAGCTTTGTCCATGTGCTTTGGATCATTGTCCTGCTGAAAGCTGAACTTTCATCTTACTTTGGCAGACTCAAGCAGGTAGTCCTCTAACATAAAATCTGTTGCCTCTGAATGTGTCAGTAGCAGTTTTTAATGCAAGGCATTTCCACAAGCATAGTACTGGGATAATAAGCATTGCCAGTCTACAGCCAAGTGCCCATAGCAACAGGCAGGCCATGAACGCAATGGATAGATTTCAGAAAAACATATCTGTTACCACCAAAGATTAATCTGCAGTTGCCATAACACATATGGCATTTGACGTGCTTACATAATCAAACCCAAATCTTCACAAACTGGCTTGATTTACCTGACATTCTCTTTATGTTAAGATTTGCATTTCATATTGTGGGATCTGATTTCTTTTCTATAAATGTCATATTCATGGTAAGGCCAAAAATGGTTTAATTTACATTTGACTGCTGTAGATTATTCTGTTTCTATGTGTCTTACATGTGTACTTAAAGAAGAGAGCATAGTAGAAATTCTCCTGATGTTTCAGCTGACAGAGATTCCTTGAGAATCCAAGAATGTTCCTGAATTTGGCCTATTTTGAAAAGACGAATTTTCTCATAACACACATAACTCCAACACCCACAATGTTAGAAATAAAAGCAACACTGTGTTGTGAAATGTCAGTATAAACAGAGAGACTGTAAAGACTGCCTTTGAAAACTTTTCAAATGCTTCCATTAAGTAGAAAAAGAAAGACGATAACTATTTGTGTATGCATAAATGACATTCCCTTGTTTAAGATTTCTTCTTTACAATGTAAAGAGAAAACAGACTAAGTTGCTTCAGCATTAAACCACCATACACCATTAATCACTATTAAGCCATTTGTATGTTTACTATTATCAGTTAAAATTAGCAATTATGTTAATGATAAATTAAAGCACTACTCTGCATCAGCATTAAAAACTGATTATACCATTACTACTATATATTTCTATATGTATATGATCTTCTGGTGTCAGTTGCTAAAAAATGATTCACCAAGAAAAATTGTTCTTACAAAGAGATAAAGAGTTCAAGTAAAAAAAAATCAGAAGAGAACAGTATCAAATAATACATCTACTGTAGCTGTTGTACTTTATATCCAAAAAGTAGGCTTGTCACTTCTCTATACTAGCACTAGAGAGCAGTGGCTGTTCATAATCACACATTTTCTCTATTGCATTTTAAAGACAAAGAGGGATGATGTATAGAGCCAGAGTATTATATTATTATATATGTATTATTATACATGTGCAATGTATTGTAATGAACACAAAACTTCTTTATAATACACCTTACATGTGTATTAAACCTGCTTTTAACATGGCTGCCTAATCAGTTGTTCTCCTCTGCACAAAATTAAAATTTAATAATTCTATTTTTTGTAATACCCAGTAAATCAGATACCTGCCTAAAGCAGATTTGAAAAGGAGTGAGGAAATGTTATCAATGACATTGGCACCATAAGTACATAAAGGAAAACTAAATTATAAAATATTCCAGCAATTATGGAGTTTTTGTTTTTTAATTTGGGAAATAAGACAGGAATAAAAGGACTTGTGTTAGACAAACATGCATCAAATGTACAAAAAACTTTTCCAAAGGTGAAAACAACTAGTTTAAAGGAAAAAAAGAACAAAAGATTTAGATGCAAACTTGTTTTAAATGCAAACCTTTTATTATTTTAACTGAATGTGTCCTTTGAATTTCTTCTCTACCTAGCCCTATTATATTTTAAAAATTAAATGAATACATCAGGTTAATCATTTACTGAATGATTAAACCAAGTTATTGTAGAAAATAGATGATTAATATTAAATTAATGTCTTGTGCCATTATTATTCACATTACCCAGAATGAACAAGTATCATACAAAATAACTTTAGACATCCAATACAAAAATATCTTACTGAAATTCTGCATATTTCCTGAATTAAGGGTCACATTTCATTATTTCCCTCAAACATACTGTAGCATAACAAGAGGAGTCAAGGTCAAAAGACAAGGCAAGACTCGTGGAAGAACTCTTGCTGTGTGGAAGCAAACTCTGCTCACTTATGACCCCTGGGCAGTCCTCTAAGAACTGGTGTGTGAGGTTTCTAGGGTAAGACAACAAGGGTCGATAGCATCCAGGTATGTTCAGCTTCAGCGGAGTTACCCTGAACCTACACGACTGTAACCCATCCTCAGCAAACCTTTTTTGGTACCAGTCACCAACTTCGTTATCCGGATATTTTACACTATTCCCTGGCAGTGGAAGGATGACCTTTAAGAAAGGAAAGAACATAATTTGTTAAACTGTATTGTTTTCAATAAACATTGAGGGGTAGTGTATTATAGTGTTGCTTGTAAATCCTATTAATGAACCCAAATACAAAGCTATGAATACCAAATGAAGATTTCAATAAAGTGAGCCTGACAGAGCACATACCTGACTCAGTTTGTAAATCTTTCCTGATTCTTCTTCAGCAGTTACAACGTGAACCTGTGAGGCAGAGAGTAAAATAAGTAATGACAAATATTGTATGTAACTCAAATAAAAAAACACTTGTTTTATCCATTAAAAGCCTCTGTTAGGAGTACAGGATTACCCATAGAGCCTGAGACTGCCAGCTTAAAGCCAGGCTGCGTGCCAGTGGCTAAAGCAAATTTGGCCTGAGCACTGCTGCAAGTGGGTCAAGTAAATTTGCATTTCTCTGCTCAGCAGCAGCTCTTGATCTCAACAGCATGCCTGCAGGATCAGGAAGCTTTTAATGGCTGCTTAGAAATGAGCTGACTGTTTCGAGTGAAAAAAGAGAACACATTTGCCATGGTTTTGGGGTAACTCATTCCTGATCAGTACACAACCATAGTGCCAAGACATTAGAAGCAAATAGTTTTTGATCACAATGACGACTGATGAAAACGTACACATGACTCATGAAACCAAAAGAATGTGAAAGATAATCTATGTCAAAGTTACAGTAAAGCAAAGTTTAATCCATGAATAAGTTCAGCATTATATTTCTATAATAAAAAGTGAGTCTTAAATCCAAAGTCAGTATTAAAAATAATTCTTCAGATTGGTCTATTTCTTTTAGGCTAATAAAAGCTAATTATACAGTGTTACCTTGTTATATTGTGGGGGCTGGGGTCCATAAGTACCAGATCATGTTGTAATGAATACAGAGTTTTTATTCCCATTATCGTTTATAATGCCCAAAAGACAAATTAATAGACAGCATGTAAGAAAGTACCATTTCACCAGTATGCAGTTTAACTTAAACAGCTCTTCTATTTAAACTGTGTATCTAAATTGTAAAATGTTCTAAACTAGAAATAGTGCTGAATCTTAAAATGTTTATATACATTTTGAATGTTTATAGAAACAACCTGTCAAAGTTACATTTAGGAAAAAAGCAACACAAGCATTTGGGCTTTGTAAGTGCTATATGTTCTAGTTTCAAGGTAAATGTGTTTACATACTGTACACTACACAGTAACATAAAATAAAATCAGTATTGTGGGTCTTCTTTCACTTATTTTATTTAAGCTGGCATTGACTTAAAACAATAACTATATTTTTCTTGGAATAATTCAAAATTTAAAGCGGTCTCAAAAATTTTAATTTCGTTGCAGCAGCATAGATGCATCTTGCTGGGAAAAGTAAGGGAGGGGTGAGGTGATCATATTCTTGCATTATCTGAAAATACTGCATTTTGAAATACAGCTGTTTTTAAAACCAAATGTTTTAAAAGCCAAATGTAAAGGATGGAGGATTTTTATTTAAATATAGATTCATCATTTTTTGTTATATCTACTTAGATTTTGCCTTATGTTAAGGCCAAAGAACATTTATATCAATGCTGAGAACAGGCCAGTCATGACTGAGATGCTACATACTCTCCTGAGGAGATATTCCACTTCTATTGTAGTACCCTGTGTATGGGCTACCTGGAAACCCAAGTGGCCCAGGGGTTAGCCACACCCAGGGAGTTGAGCCTCACAAAATATCCTGAACTGAACTGACTAATCTTATGGGAGCTTGCTGTCACTTCTGTCAGAGAACACTAGGGCACAATTCCAATTAACAGAGGACTAAACATTCAATATTTCATTTAATATAAAAAGAGAACATAGTTGTCATGGTCACATTAAAATTTTCTTTTTGTTTTGACTGATGGATGCTGACATCCACAGCTATATTGAGGGCTGAAGTCCTATTTAGACCAGAAAATAATGCAGTAAATAAGCCTTTGCTTCACTATTATATTTTAAGTTCACTTTACTGTAAAAATTTGAAACAGGCAATTTAGAAAAATTCCTAAATATTAAACTAAGTAAAATCATTGGTTTAATATGTAAGGGCTTACTTAAATCCCTGGTTTCACATTCGTACTGTTACATGTATACACATATTTTGCCCATAGGTTGACTGCAGAAATAATTACTTATAAAGTGATCATAACACATGGTTAAATTAGTTTTTCTAGAAAAAGTTAGATTATCTCATTGAAAATGAAAATTTTAGTTTACTATACTCTATTTTAGTCCTTTTCACAATTGCATCACTGGTGGATTTTCTTATATGATCATGTCTGATACGTGACTGGGCAAGAGTCAGTCAACAGCAATACAATTCGAGGTACAGTTAAAGGCATTTCTGAAGGCTGTGCTTATGATTTTTGCTTGGCACACTGGGAGTGTGTTTTTATACAGATGTTTTGAAAAAGACTATTATATTATTATAATGAAAAATCAATATACAGTTTGAAAAGCAAGCCAGAAAACTTCCATTTCAAAATGCTTCCTTTCAGCAATGACTGTACTTCTGAAGACTGGAAGCCTTAATGCATTATTTTAAAAATACAGAAAAAATCTTTCACTTTTATTTTCTATTAAAAAAACCCATCATAACAAATAATCGGACAGACGGAACAGGGAAGAATGTCACATATTAAGAAACTTAATGTAAATGGCTATAAAGTAGCAATATTTAAGGTATGCTTACTCATACGGACAGGTTGTTACCTGATTATGCCTCAATACAGTGCTTTCTTTGCTCATATCAGTTGACCAGACCAGATCCCCTTTCACCACCTCTTCACCAAACTGCTGTAGTCTGAAGGAAGCAGCTTCATTCCATACTCTGCTGCAGTAGGCATGAATGTACAAGACACGCATGCCATGTGGCAAACTCAGCCACCCCCGGATGCAGCCCTCGTGCCCTACACCATATCGATTCAATGCACGCAGCATCATCCTCTCCCGCACCTTGAACTCTGGCATCAGGGCTAGGCTTTCTTTAGCATCCTCTGGAATTAATTCAAGAAAGACTCTTTATGACTTTGTGAAACTGAAAAATCAATAGGCAGCACATCAGCAGAGACATCAAAAAGCTTATAATCTGTAACTCGAATCAGACTGAATCAATCAGTACAATTCTTTAATTAACCAGGAGGAAATGGGAAATGTCTCCCTTTGGACTTGTGGAACTAGAATGTGAACCAAGGGAACCAATTTGTTGTTTGTGCTCCTGAATTACATCAAGATATTAAGTGGATATGAGATGTAACCAGAGCAAAATACTGTCATGATAAAATGTGGTGGTTTAACCTGCTTGTGAAAAGCAGTAACAAATATTATGCCATTCTAAAACTGTATGCAGTAAAAAGACACACCCTTCTAAGTAAATCCAGTCAGACAATAAATATCCAAATACCCCATCTCACATGCAGGAATATTTACCAATTTATATGCATAAATGTTGATAAGTGCATTTACTGCATTGTTCAGTGTTTAGAATCTTCTATTTAGTTAGATTAATTATTATGTTACTAAAATAATATAGTAGATTCCTAATCTATGTCTGAATTGCCCTCATAATCATAGTTCTTTAAGATGCAGACATTTACACAATGACTGGCCTTAAGACCCTTTAAGAGGTGCTTATTCTCACCAGTCTGAAGGAAATGACGTTTTGCTTTGTTTTGGGGGTCACTGTTCTCCTCTGGTGTGAAAAATAACTTGACAGCCAACACCTGTGAAGCAGGAACAGATATATTGAAACATAATATTGTTTAGATCTTATAAATACATATAAAAGGTTACAACTGAAAGGAGGCCATTTGGGCAATCTATTCTGTTTTTTAGCTACTGAATCAATTAATGAATCAAAGGATCTTATCCTGCTGTTTCTTAAAAGAAGCCGATGTATCAGCCAACACAACGTCTTGTTAGCTTGTTCAATACTTCCATAGCCCTTTGGGTAAAGAACTGCTTTTCTGAGTTTTAATACACTACCTCAGTTTCTACAGGTGTCGCCTGGTTTATGTCTCACTGTTCATTCTGAAAAAATCTGCTGGTCAAACTTATTTCAGGTCTCCTCATAAGATTCTCTATTGAAGATTAAAGAGGTTCAGTACTTCAGTGAATGTCAGTGTAGGACCTTCCTTAAGCCCTGGAATGTATCTGGTTGCTTTTTTCTGGATAGATTACAGAGCAGCAATATATTTTCTATAACATGCTGTCAAAATGGCACAAAATATTTTAAAAGAGGTCTTACTAGTCCATTATCTAATTTTAACATAACATCTCTTGATTTAAATTAGCCAGAAGCCATATCACCCTGCAACTCACAACTGGCAACCCACTGAAGCTAAGCAGGTGTGAGCCTGGTCAGTACCTGGATGGTAGACCTCCTGGGAAAAACTAAGGTTGCTGCTAGAAGAGGTATTAGCAGGGCTAGCAGGGGGTGCTCACCCTGCGGTCTGTGTGGATCCTAATGCCCCAGTATAGTGACAGGGATGCTACACTGTAAAAAGGCACCGTCCTTTGGATGAGACGTAAAATCGAGGTCCTAACTCTCTGTTGTCATTAAAACTCCCAGGACATTACTCAAAAAATAGGGGTGTAACCCCGGTGTCCTGGCCAAATTTCCCATTGGCCTTTACCAATCATGGCTTCCTAATAATCCCCATCTATGAATTGGCTCTTTTCTTTTCCCAGTGATAACTGAGGTGTGGTGAGTGTTCTGGCACACTATGGCTGCTGTTGCATCATCCAGGTCAGTGGTTCTCAAACTGTGGTACGCGTACCGGCAGTGGTACGCCAAATGACCCTGGAACTGTGTCGTGTGCGCTGAAAAATCGGGACGGGTTTTCATATTTTGTATTTTAATACGTGTCGAATACGCAGCCTACGTACTACGATACAGTGCGTGCTAATACTTCAGTGGACACAATAGATACTCCGTAATTCTATACCACTCTATAGGGAATGCATGCTACGGACGCAAGTGACCAATTGTATTTAAAAAAAGCTACTGTATCTCCAGCAAATA